AGTGAGTGTGGGATTTGAAACTTAAGTAGGGCGATGTGGATTATTATATTGAGGGACGTGATGCGCGTGATTTTGAGGGCGGGAATATTATATTGAGGGACGTTGGATACAGTAACATGGATCTCATAGTTGTATTTGTGTCTTAGCCTTAGCCTTGGTTTGCACGGACAAATTTTAAAAAACAACCCATTTTCAAAAATAATGGTAAGAAACCATTTTTTTGAAACTTATTTGCTAAAAGCAACACAGTTTCAACCAATTGGCTGAAACTTGATCGTTTTTGAAAAAAAAAAACCAAACTTCACGGGACTTCAGTTGGCTGAAACTGGATCGTTTTTGGCAAACAAAATATCAAACTTCACGGGACTTTAAGTCCCGTGATGTTTGGTATTTTTTTCATAAAAAATGACCCAGTTTTAACCAACTGGCAGATAAGTTTCAAATAGATCGTTTTTTATGAATAAGTTTGAAAATTGGTTGGTTTTCAAAATTTGTCCTGGTTTGCATAAATACGTAAGATGAGAGAGGAGGGTGAAGACAGGTGGGGTCAGTTAGTGTGGGTGAGGGAGGAAGGAGGAGGATATATTTTAAAGGTGAAAATTGAAACAAAGATGCCCTGGGGCAGTTGATTAAAAACTAAACCAAACTTACAAAGTAGTTCTGTAAAATAAGGACAAAAAAAGTTTCTATTGATTTAATCTATTTTAAAGATGATTTTCATGATTAAAAAAACCTATAGATAATCCTGTGTTTCTATCACAAGGAGGGTTGACTCTTGTTACTGACAATGAGAATCAAAATACAATATGTGATGGATGATATATTTTATTAGGAGCTTGGAGCATCCCATGTTAGTATAGTGTCCTCTCGTTTTTGGGTGTTCAAAGTATCTAGTGTTAAAGGTAAATTTCACAAAAAAACCCCTCTAGTTTGGCTGCTTATGAAATAACCCTCTATACTTTAAACATGTCATTTAACCCTCCCTCAAGTTTGGTCCTTCTGAGATAATCCCTTAAACTTTAGAAATTTCATTTAACCCCTCTTAAGTTTTGTCAATCCCTCAACTAAAGTAAACAAGACTCTCTAAAGTTCTATTTGTTGTGAATAGACCCCCTGTAGTAGTATTTGCTCAAGTGCAAATACATCCCCTTAGTGAACTTTTTCGATTGTTTTAAAAGTAAACAAGATAGCAATTGGGTGTCTATCTTCAACGATAGAACTATAAGGGTTCCATCAGTCTCCTCCAATATTTTTGACAATTTTAAAAGGTTAAAAAACTTCACTCGGGGCTCTATTCGCAACAAGTAGAGCTACAAGGGATCTATCTGCAACAAATAGAACTATAAGGGTCTGTTTGCAATTGGATGATACTACAGAGGTCTGTTGACGATTAACCCTAACCATTCGATAAAACTACAGCAAGGAAGAGAACAAGAGATCAAACTTGTTTTTGTCTGCCTAGTACTTGACCAACTTTGCCTATATTGCTTTGTTAATAATATTGTGTTAGTAGTGGGTTTAGTCCCACATTGGTTATGAGGACAAACCTATTTAAAAACACGAGTTCGGAAAATCTTTTTTAGACAAATATACCCCTTTATAGTTTGAACTACCTTATCTATATTCAAATTCTAATTTTCCATGGTCAATATTACCCTTCATTATTTTGAATATTTTATTTATATCTTAATCTATCCTAATCATAATCATATCTTATCCTAATCCTATGTGAACCATGTTTAGCTTAACAATTTTAAAAAACTAATATTAATAAAATATATATAAAACATAAAAATGATATTAGTTTGTTAAGATAAAGAAATTACAAGTAGATAACATATTATAATACATGAAGTATTGCAAAAAAACCATAAAAAATTTTAAAATTGCAAAAAAGACCCTAAAAAGTTCAAAATTATAAAACTTAAAATAAAAAATATGAAATTAAAAAATTAACATCAGTTTGCAAAGAATTTAAAATTTACAGTTAGCACCTCAATGTCTCAAAAATTATAGAAACACCCTCAAAAGTTTAAATTACAGACAAGCACATTAAAATTCTAAAATTTTAAAACTTACAAACAACACAGATGAATTCAACAGATTACCATGATACACCTAAAATTTTTGACATTTAAATTTAAAATTTTTAATTAACACCCTTAATATCTCAAAAATTATAGAAACACATTTAAAAGTTTAAATTATAAAAAGCCACCCTAAAATTCTAAAATTTATAAATAACATAAGATGAATTCAAGATATTACCCTTAGACACCTAAAAAATTAAAATTTGACGAAATTAACCTCAAAATTTTTAAAAAACTCCTTCAAAATTTAAAAATCGTAAAAAAAACTCTAATTTTTCAAAATTTTTAACTAGCACACATCAAATTCGTCGATTGGTAGAGCGCTAAAATTTAATATTTTTCAAAATTAATGTATAGTTTTAATAATGGTAAAAGACACCCTCAAAATTTTAGAGTTACAAGAAATATACTAACATTTAAAAAATTACCACTAACACATGAAACATAGAATTTACAACTACCAAACTTAAAAGTAATTTTTTTTTAAAAATCTTTCAAAATTTTAAAAATTATAAATCACACCCTCAAAGTTCAAAACCACAAAAATGGGCTAAAATTTTAAAACTTGGCAAAGAAAAGTGTAATTGTTTGGTATTTTTCATATATATATATATTAAAATTTCTAATTTAGGGATTTACTATCCATTTTCAGCATCTAAGAATAGTCTAAGTTGATACTGGTAAACAAAAACAATAAGAATTGATTAAAAACATCCGGTTAATGGATAAAATTTTTAAAAATATTATAGATTAAAAATTATCGGCACTATATAAATTAAAGTAATTTCATATAATTTTAGTAATAAGTTGGGGTAGCCAAAATACATTCGTAACATTAATTGATAGATGTTTAAATCCATAGAAATGATAAAACACTATAATATTATACCTTAGCATTAATTGATTTTAATTTAGAAACTTTAATCTTTGACGTTAATAATATTTATAGGGTAAAAGAATACAAGGAATTACATATGGAGAAACTATTAGAATATTTAGAGATAACTTTAAAAGAAT